AGTGTATGTACACTTTTGACCACAACTGTACTTCCTTGTACTTTGTAATAGCAAATGTTTTGGGAAACACTAAGACACATATGTTGATGAACTGCGTAAACGATTTCAATCGCAGATGTTTCATCGACAAGAAAAACATGTCAACTGAGCTCAGTAAGGAGAGTGTACTAATATTTTCGCCTAAGCATTTTGCCAAAAAAAAAAAAAAAAAAATCCAGTCTATTATGAAAATGTTCAGTTTTTAATGTTCAGCTTTAGCTCTGAGCCTATTAAAATGGACGCCACACAGAGAAAAGGACTGCTGATAACTTTTTGAAAGTAACCACGGTAATGGTTTTTGACGAAATCAAGTTTTGTAAAGATGGATGGAGAACCTGTGACCAGCAGCTGACATCACATAGACCAGCCTTTTTGTAATAAGTATCAGTGAGTAAATCTTGGTTTTTAAGCAACAGCATCTTTATAAAATGACTTTGTAAGATAAAAGGACAAAAAAGCTTTTTCAGATCGTTGTGTCATGATATACATTTTTGAAGGGTGAAGTTGTTTCATGCATTATATTTTAACCTAAGGGCAAAAATTTACAAAAATCAAGTTTGAGAAATGATTAGAACGGTTCCCAAAACTCTGGAAAGTCTGAGGTTTTTCCACTTCTAAATCTAATACCGCTTTGCATTAGAAACCTTTTCTGATACTTTGAATCTGAATTAATCAGTCGCACATTGCTGTAAGACTTCCTTTAAACCCCTGACTTCAGAAATTAGCTGTTCTGTGTTGAAAATTAGATCAACATTTTCCCAAAAAAGTATTTTTATCTATGAGAGCATTCACTGAATGCTGTTTAATTGTAATTTTTCAGTAAATATATATATATATTTTTTCCCTTTTCAGGCCCATATTGGACACACGTTCTGTTCACCTGGACCAAGAAGGACGGTCTAAAGGTTTTCATCAATGGGACTCTGTGTGACAGTGATCCCTCCGGCTCTACCTCAGAGAGCTCTGCAGACTTCGGTTCTGACGTTTTCCTCAAAACCGAGAACAACAGGGCGCATCGTCATTATGTAACGCGGGCTTTCGATGAATTTGCCATCTGGAAAAGGGCCCTTTCTCCCCGTCAGATCAAACTCTATTACAGAGCAGCTGTAGGTAGGACAATGTGCTCTCTTGGAAAGTATTTCCTGTCTTTCTAGCACATGCAGTCTTTGTCTATTAAATTGTTTCCTCCCTTTTGACTCTGAGCAAACAGGGGTTAACGTTAAATTACCTTCTGTCTTTGTGCCGAATCTCGTCAGTGACGGAAAACAACAACAATATAAACTGTGCACAAACACACGCCCCTCGACTCGCACACAATTTTAAGTCCGCAGCTGAAATAGTTCTGCCTTTTAAGTATCTAACAAAGTGTAGAGGCATGTTGAGTCGCAGAAGGCAGATCGTTTTAATTTAATGTGACAAGCTACAACATGCAAGGAGCTAACCTCCACACTCCTGAATGTTTCTGTTCTGTTTACCTCCTCCGGTCAGCCGAGGGCCATAAATGGAGATGGAGGCGATTTTTAAAAATAACAACTTTCTATCGAGTGTTAATCTAAATTAGAAAATCCTAGCGCCGCCTTAGAAATTCTCAGCGCAATACGATATGCGCGTTAAGCTGAATCTAATTCATTTGTGTTTCACATTAATTCCTCAGGGTGATTGGTAGCTGCACATGCGAAGTGTTACTGCCGTGCTGTGATGCACGAAGCATTTCAAAAATGCTCTGAGCTTTCTCCTCTTCTCTGATAATATTTCCATAAGTGATATAATTCACAGGACACCGAATAGCCTGGCTGCTCTTGCTAACAATATCTATCTTTAGCTCTTAGTGACTCGCCTACTTTTTCTTTCAATCAAAGAAGAGCAGAAATGATTCAGACTCACATCCCTAAAGCGCACCCAAACATGGTCATCTTATAGTAGCTTGTAAGAGCTGGCTTCATTAAACAAGTGTAAAGACTTTTAAAGAAATTATCTAAATCCTGTGCAGTCTGTGTAGTGGCAACATGTGTGTTTTGATCATTCATGTCTAATAGAGGTTGCAAATCTCTGGATCTGGCGTTTGTTCTTTTATGACTGCCGAGTGGAATCAAAATGTAAGCTTTATGCTGACAAAATCCAGAACTGCAGCCAGATCTGGCTGTGCTCCCAAAGCACCAAAAAGAACAAAATATCAAAAGAAAAAAGGAACAAATACAAAAAAAGACAACCAGATATGCAGGTCAACAGTCTGGTGAGTATTTTGTACTTCAAAAGAGGCTTTTTCTTTTTCTTTTTAGGTCAGGATGAGGTTTCTGCTACGACGCATGGAAATGCTTTGGATGTCTCCACTACTGCAGCAACAAGTGTAAGTGTCTTAGAAGTGTTTCTACCCCTTTCCCAATTCTTACCCCAATTAATACCAACACATTGCCACACTGAAAAATTCTACATTTAATTCAAGTGAGGAAAAAGGCTATGTTAATAATTATTAGTGCTCACAAAACCACAGTGACAGAGTTATTGGTACTCCTGCTGTCAGTACTTTACCTTATTTTTCCAGTGCGATGACGCTTAGTCGTTTAACAACATTTGACTCTTCCTCTTTGAACAGTCTTTACATCATCCAGATTCCTGGTGCTGCGCTTTTCCTTAATTGAACCCAGGTTTTCTATATGTCAGGGCTGTGGGAGGTCCAGAAGGTAGATTTTGTGCTTGGTGAACCATTTCTGTACTGATTTGGCCCAGGTATTTTGGAGCATTGTTCTATTAATAGTACCTATGACCATTTTTTCACGTTTACTAGTTGAATCCAGCAGTTCTTTATTTAAAACATCCTTGAAAGCAGTTTAGGGTGGTTTGTGATCTAATTAGGTTTTCATGGCATTTTGGAGGGGAAAGTCCTCCACTATTCTTGAGCAAGTTGTCGTCTTGCACATATTCATCTTACTTGGTTTGGTTATTGCCGGAAAGCTCAGTGTACATTTTATCTGAACAAAGCACGCTGTGAGTTGAGGTCCCAGTGGAGTTTGCGTTTGTGATTGTAGTACAGATAAGGCTTTTCCTGCAATCACTCCCAAGCAGCCGGTTGGCTTGTACAAGAACCTTTGGTGACCCCCCAAGATGACACACTTTGTTGCAGGTCTCTAAAGCTTTGGAGAGTTTTTTATCCCCTTTGTCATCCTGCTTACTGTGCATGGTGGCAAGGTAAATACGTGTCCAGCCTTGAAGCTTAGGGGCCTGTGTGTTAAGGTATGTTTAAACTCCATGGAAACAAAAAATGATCCGTTGCTAATTAAACATACAATCCAAGATAGTCACGAAATTTGTGTTTGGTTGAGTCATTTGTTTTAACAAGGCTTTTTACAGATGAAATCCGATCCGATAAAAAAGCCAGTTCATTTGCCTTCAAAAGGAGCCGCAGTTGTAAGGAAGATGCTTTTGTGAGTTGAGCACCAACGATAAGATTGGTTCAGCCCTACCAATGCTGAACAGCCTATTCTGCTACACACGTGTTTGTTGGATTGGAAGATTGACTGATTGACTGATTTCACTAACTTGACAAACAGGGGGCATCAGTAGGAGAACAACAAGCTGGCACCTCCTCCTCATGCTTACCACCATTTGGTCAGACACTGCTGTGGGACACTGCCCATTCTTTAGCTGGCATTTGTTGCAAGTCAGTCAGACAAACGCTTCTGCTGATCACTTTGACACAAACAGAACGGGAAAGCTTCTCTGGGTCGACATCTTGAATAACAAAGTTTGCCTCTGGTTGCATGATCTAAGCTTTGGCCGAGAGGTTTTGACACATTTTTCATTTTAGAATTTATTTTATGTTTCCACACATCTGTACCAAATGCCAGTAAATTCGCCTGACAACTTTTTTATGTTGTTTATTTCTGCTGTTGACCAAGTATTTAGATCAATGGCAAGTACAAATCATAGAGGCATTATTAAATGTCTTTTTAGGTATCTTTTTTTTTCAGTGTTTAATATCACTGTCCTTTTCAGGGCCAGCAGCAATTATAAAATTTGACAAATTATGACCTCTAATCAAACCAAAGCGGCTCTGAATGACCTCCAGCTGGTGGAAAATATTTATTTTGGTCCAACAACCACATTGCCTTGCATTAGACTATGAGCAGATTGTGAAAAATCACTCTTTAGTCATCGGTTGTCATCATCAGTTTGAAACAACCAAAAATTGCAAAAATACAGTAAAGCCTTAATACAGCTTAACATCAACATTTTCTGAGTTTTAAAAGGAAATGCAGCAGCTACAAAGAAAAGGTATGGGTGGGGGGAAGGGAATCACCAAAATAAACACCAAAGTCGTCACAAGAGTGGGAAATGGGGGTCTTTTGCTTCAAAATGCACAAACAATTCATTACTCACTGAGGCACTGTTTTCGTTTTGTCAACAGATAAAAAGAAAGATATTGAGAACACATGTGAAGAATCCTGTTTATGACAGGTTCGGGGGTAGAAAACGTACTCAGAAACTCAAAACAGGGCAAAAATGGCTGCGTCTAGTCACATGAGAGTAGCTTCTTCTAACGCACTGTATAGAGAAACGGCGATACATTTACTCAGAGTAATCCCCTGAAATCAATCACTTCACGTTCTGTGTATGTTGGAACTCCGTGTTTATTCATAAACTTCCCTCCAAATGATTTTTGCGCCGTCTCCCCAGAGAGCTTTTGAAACGAGCCCTCCTGTGATCAGCGGTCACCAGGAGGTGGTCCAGAGCTCCCAGGGGCCGAGCACCAAGCCCGTGCTGGACTTCCTCAGTGCGCTGCCCAACAGGACAATTCCTCACTACGCTGCCAACAACCTCACACAGGTCCTGGGACACAGCACGGAAGAAAAAACTTATCACTACACTTTCAAAACAAGATCACACAGTGGCCACCCATGTGCAGATGACGATGTCCTCTCTCTTCTCTTCCAGGCTTTTCTCAAAAGTGTGGAAGAAGTTCTGACTTCTCCAGGATTGCCAGAGGTAAAATAAGGCCACTCCGTTGTTGTGTAAGGTCCAAACACGACAAAATGTAGCAGAAGCAATCTGACCGCTGCTTGGAGCTGAGACACAAAAGCGGGCCATTGACTCAGAGTTTTTAATGCTGCATATTTTTGGCATGAGAGGCACTCGACACTCTTGACAGTAAAAGACATTAAGACTGCTTTCGCTTAAACAGAGTGCCTTAAAGGAGGTTATTTCACAGAAACAAAAACAAAGGTGTTACTAACACATTTAAAGGAAATACGATGGTTCCTTTGATCAACAATTATCCTGGTCAAATCTCACTGCTCTGATATTTGAGAAATTCAAGTGAGAATCTGTGGAAAGATATTAGCAAACCATATCGGCTGTGCTAAAGTTACTTAGATTAGTCTCTACACTCAGAAAAAAGAATAATTGGTCCAATTTAAATAAATCGCTTCAGTTTGTGACAAGTAATTCAATTAAGTCCATCCAGACTAGTTTATCATGTTTATTAAACTTTCAAGTTGACCCAATTTAATAAATAAACTTAATTGAACTAATTGTAATCACTTGAAGCAATTTATTGAAGTTGGAGCTATATTCCCTTTTTTTTCTCAATTTAAATATGCAAAGCTGACATATATACTAAAAACTTGCAGCAGGTGGGAACCCAGTTTTTATTTTTTGGAAATTTTCAAAATCATGTACCATTTTCCTTTAACTTCATATTTATCAAATGCTACTACTTTCTGCGACACCGATTGCCTCTTAAATTAAGTATTTGCATGTTAGACTCAAACAAGATTGCCTTCCTGTACAGCTGACATGTCTTTAATGTGAACTACAAAATACAAATTCAACCTAATTTATAGAAGAAACGCACATAAATCTGATAAACTGAAGCAACACATTGAAAGGCAGCAAAATGTGACCTTTTCCTGTGATAATCATTGGTCAGCAGGCCGACCCGGTGGTCAGCAGCTTGATTGAGACAGTGGACATCGTGATGGGACACATGGTGACCAAGCTGGAGTTCAGCTCTGGCTCTCCCTTTTCCCTGGGAGGAACGTCTTTGGTTGCAGGTCAGAAAGATGTCAGCTCTCCCTCTGCTGTATGGACCAACTTTCACTCCCCAAACCTTTCTCTTCACAAATCACATTGGTTTTATTTGTTTGCTCCTGAGTTTATTATTCTTTTCTCTTTTTTTTTTCCTAAACTCTGATCCCTGCATCTCCCCCGCAGATTACTCCCTGATGAAGCTGCCACAGAACTTCAATCTGCCACATTACCGCTTTCCCACACAGGGGAAGAATTACATCTCAGTGCCTGGGGAGGCATTTGCAATACACAGTAAGTGTAAATAATTCAACATGCTCATGTTTTAATGTCATTTTTATTTTTTTCAATTGGCGGGGTAGACTCTACCATTTAAAACGGACCACTAAAAATCAAATGTGCAATCCAGAAATATCAGTCTAGGAAGTTCTTGTTACAATAAGCTGAGATGTAAGACTACTAGCTGCATGCGGTCTAAGAAGGGATTGGGGCGAAAGCTTTTGTTAGGATTCATAATGCCCTGCAGAAACCCACCTATGATTTTACTGTAGGTAGTTACCCTTTCATTTAAAACAGAACAAATAAAAGTTGTTCCTCTTTTTTTTTTTTTCCACTTCACTTCGTCATTAAAAAAAGAACGGGCCCTGCAGTGGACTGAGGGAGAGGAGTAATTACACTGGGCATTAAAACGTTGTTTGTTCGACTTTGCATTCAGGTCATATTCCCCCGGCTCCATCTGTGTTCCTCCATGCCGTGTTCTGGCACGCAAACACAAAAAATAAACAGCTTAAATAATTCATTTACAAACTTGTATTGAAGAGGAATGAGCGTTATGGCCTGACACACGAGAGTCGGGGCCAAATTAAGTCATAGGCCTGAATACCTGGCAGCGTAAAATGCTCAAAGGGCAACTTTTATATCCTAATAGAGCACGGAGAATGCAATGCATTGGACTTGTCCAGACGGTGTTTTCTTTGTTCATTCTTTGCTTTTGGAGAACCGAACAAGGAAACCGACCAAGACGTGGTCCTCTGTGAAACTTGCTGGGAGGCATTCGGTTGGAATAATATTCCTATGAACTTTTCACGCACATTTGCTTGACACACTCGAGCCCTTGTTGTCATTCTCAGCGGGCTTCAACCTTTGAACAGAGGAACAGGGTCATTAGGAATTTCCTCCGATTTCACTTTTTATCTCGTCGCATGGAGGTGGGAACGAGCTGAAGGAAAGGTCAGGGGAGGGGCACCGGACCTCCTGGTCTGCCACTGAAGTTGTGAAAATATTTCATAAGTATTCACCGAAACCATGTGGCGTTCTCCCTTTCACCCTTGTGAGACTATACTCCTCTCCCATTAGCCGGCTGGTGCCGGCGTGTGGTGGCATTGTGCCGTTAATTAACTTCCCTTCTTTGTGAGCATTTTAGCGTTCCGGTCGTACATTCCCATTCCTCCTCTCACTCCGCCTCCGTGTGTCCACTTCTTGTCTTCAGCTCAGACCACCATTGTTGGCCTCTTCTACCACAACATGCACAAGTACTACAAAGAAATCAGCCCGGTCAAGACGAGGTAAGAGGAAGGGGTGACCTTTTGTGCTCCAGTTTGCGGGAATTGTTTTTCTAAGTTCAAGCCGTTTGAAAGAAAACTGAACCAAGCCCCTTTCTTTGTGCTAACCGTGTGGGAAATCGTGGCCAAGGGCCTCAAACTTCCTGAACCTCAGAGCAGCTGAAGCCTGGAGCCAGGAGCTTATCTGTGCTTTCTGTGTATCTCTCATCTCACCACTCAGCTTCCACTGACTGATACACCCTGCTATTAACACGCCATATCTGAACCCACCCCCACCACCCACGCACCCACCCACCCACTCACTCAGTCATTGTCACATCACTGGACCGTCTCGAGACATGTACTGTTGCAGTTATAACCCACATGGTGAACATAAACACAGCAATCTGGCGACTTTAGTCTTCAGCAAAACCAACATGACAGTGACTTGCAGAAGTATTTATAAGCCACTAACGTTTTGAGATTTTGGGGGCAGATTTACTGTTGTCAGTTTGATCGTTTTAATTGTGAAGCGGAAGAAAGCACACACGATTACCTTTTTTTTTTTTTTTTTTTTTTTTAAACAAACCTCTTTGCAAAATCTTGTACCCAACTAACTTAAGAAAAAGGTTGGAGTCTTGCACGCACATCACCATGAACATACCACCTCCGTGGCGGCATTACGGTATCAGGATGTTTTTTCTTCAGCAGTACCGTTGGTCAGAGTTGTTTGGGACAAAGGGGGAAGAAGTTGAGGTTATAGAAGACTTTGCAGAGACTCACCTTCCAGCAGGAGAGCGACCCGGAGCGTACAGCCGGAGCTGTGCCAGAATGGCTAAGATTGGTGCACATGAAAAATTACCGTGTGGCCAAAGTATAAGTCAAAGTATAAGTATAAGTCAAAGTATAGACCCAAACTGTGGTAATACTTAAAAATGTATGCTCTCCATTCAGGTCAACTGAGTTTGATCTATTTTGGCAGGAAGATTGGGCAAAACCTTCAGTCTCTAGCTACGCAAGCTGCTGTGCAAATACTGATAGAGCTAATGGACGTTATACAGTTTTCGTATTTTTAATAGTAAAATTTTTTAAAATCATGTATATATTTTTCATAACACTTAACTAGTTATAGTCAAACCCCCCAAAATATCAATAAAATACAAATGATTTATAGCTGTAAAAAAAAATAAATAAAAATAAATAAAAGTCTAAAGTCTCACCAGATAGCTGCAAATTTCCAGATGTTTGTGACATCTGGGACTTTTATGTGGATGAAAATATTCCCTTCTATCTTGATGCGTGTATGATCATAATGTCACATATCAGATGATGCTGGAAAAACTGGTGGCTGTCAGTTTAATTCATTAAAAAGACCGATGGCCAAAATCCCATCTCAGTGCTACTGCTCTGTTTCTCCGGCCTTGTGTGTGACACTCATGTGTCAGTAAGCAATTTTTAGTATGCTAGTTTAAAATGGAAAATGCTCTTCAGTGTTGAGCTATCAATCTTGAAATGTATCCTTATTTCTACTGGATTGTTTTGGTTTTTTTTGTTCTTCTTCTCCAGGATTACCAAAGCAACTGACTACAAGGATCACAAGATCCAGATAGCAAGCTGCCTGATTTCTCTGAAAGTGGAGCCTTTACCGCCACTGTTGGTCAACCATTCTGGAGCGCCGCTCATCAAAATTGTCCTCACCCACGTTCTGGTAAGAATAACCCAGTTAAGTTCCCAGACTCTTCTTGTTCGACTCCCACTCAGTCACACTTTCTCCAAACGAGCAACGCTGTCGGTCAAGAGACACACCTTATCAGACGCTTCATAGTTTGCTTATTGCAACAGCGGTTGGATGCTCTCACATGAAATCTATCAGCTCTATTTCTGGCGCTCTCTTATGTAAGAAGATGAGTGTCCACAACTGGATGAGGCTCATGGAAGCAGGACCCTATTTTGGCTTTTCTCAGCCTGCTTGAATTTTTTTTTTTTTTTTTTTTTTTTTTTTTTTTCCCCCCCCAGACCGGGGGGGGCCCAAAAAGAAATTTGTTTATATTTTTTTTTTTTCCAAACTGGGGGGCG